TAAAAACAGAATCATGAGTTGTAGCCGCCATAGTCATTGTGATAAACCTTCCAGAGAGGAGTTTATTGAGCTAGCATAGGTAGTTTAATCAAATGGAAAGCAATACATACAATTAGTAAATAAATATAGATCCCATCTTAAAAGTTTTCCAGGCAGACCTTAAAGTTATTCTCATGGTGCCTCACGACAATCCCATAGCGAAGAAGCAGCTCCACGTACGGCATCCAGCGTATGTCACCTATGTCTACATAGGGGTCGTGGGGTGAATTCAAGGCTTTGTTCATCAGCAGCTAAAACATAAGATTGACAGAGGAAAAAATACAGATGTCAGATCCCTATGTTGTCTAAGTCAGTCCCCAGTGGTACGCGGGGCAAATTCACATTTTCACATTTACATTTTCAAATGATTTCATCTAAAACGTACCATGCTCAATTTACAACATAAACATCTTTATAAACGTCTCTTCTGTGTGGTGGAAGCTAATATCACGCAAAATCAATGTGCACTCGATCCCCATTTTAAAAGTCAGTGTGCATAGAAAAGTATATTAAGTAATAAGTAAGCTCGGTAATAGAGGAGTAACAGTAACAGGAGTCAATACGCGAGTGTGAAAATGGCATTTGACAAAAACATACAGTTCCACAGGTGTACCATTTGGTACACGTTTGTATTTGTACCGGACTTCCTGTACTGAATACATAAATATACATACACACACACATTCAAAATCTTTCATTTATCATAGTTGCATCATCACCATAACATTTTACTGAGACATCTGTGCTAATTCTGTCGAGAGAAAGAAACTTACCTCAAGTATGTCCTTGAGTGAAATGTTTTCATCCTGTTTTGAACAATAAAAAAAAAAGAAAAAAAAAGAATATTAAGCAACACTAAAAAAAGCAGGTTTTACACGTAAGGTAGATTAAGTTAAGTGACCCAGTAAACACGGGTAAGGTACTGCACCTTTTCAGAGTTTGTAGTAGATTCAATCTGTATTGGAGGAACATGGTCCTCCAGGACACTTCCCAGACACTGCATCAATGTTTGCAAATAGGCTTGCATTTTCTGCATATCATTTTTGGCGTCCTCCAGTAAACTGTGCAAAGAAATCCTTCATTAAATTCTTTCCTTTTGAAATTGTGCCAAAACGTATAAACTTTTACTGCTGATAGAGAAGATGAACCTCGGCATACATTCTTGCAGGACTAAGAAATCTAAAATATCTGACCGATCTGGAGTAAAGGAGGCTCAACCTCTTTTAGCTCTGCACATGCACCTTCTAAACATTACCAGGTCTCACGCAGTAGCTTTACATTTCATTTAGAACCTTTGAAAGATGATGCCGAGTCTGCATGACCAACCAAAAACACAGTTACAACATGGTTAGTTGCTGTTAAATTTGCGTCCATACGAAGGTAAATGTAGACGTGCTGCTGATTCACAATCATTATATAAACATAACATTGCCCGACATCTTCAGTGATCAGCCTAAATATGAATGATCCCTGTTTCACATTGCAACTGGCTGTACCTGGTGCTCTACTAAGCCCAGAAGTTTGACATAATGGCCATGAAGTCAACACACTGGGACCACTGAGTCGTTGCTGATACTGAGGACACCATGCTACGTCCGACATTGAATCCAACACCTCCATGTCACAATTTTAAAAATTATGAGTGGTTAGAACCACCGTAACCGTTCTGGGACCTCGTGCTTCACACACTAAGCACTAGTGCTGAAGTGATGAACAAAACTGTGTCTATGGGCAAACTTGTTTCATTCAACTGTCCTTGATTCAACATTAGTTGGATGCAGGAATAAAGCAGCGCGAGCGAGAAATGATGCAGGCCGCGATGGATGCGGAGAAGTCGAGAGATTTACTGAGTATTTTTGTGCATTATTTTTAAATTTGTTTTGTGGAGGAAAACTGTTCAATAAACTTTTTTTTCCACTCTATTGAAAATTAACAGAATGTGCGGTAACAAAAAAGGGCATTTTTTTAATAAAGATGCAATGACAAAAACACATGACAAAACAAAAACAAAAATAATGCACAAAAATACTCAGTAAATCTCTCAACATTAAACGTTATACAAATCGCTAGCCGTGGGTGTTGTCAGCGTGGGCTTGTCAAAAATTGCCATGGTTTTAGCTTGTGTCATCATAACTTTATGTTCCGGCCGTGTTGTGGTGTTCCTTCCTTTGGGCGAACCGAAAGTGCACTTTTGGGCCATTTTGGACAGACGGTTTTTGGTGGTGGAATATTCGGTGCATCCCTAGTATTTTGCATATCTCTTACAAATACAAGTACGACTGTATTTGGTCACAATTTGTCTAAAGCTCATGTTCTTCAAAACACTGTGATAAAATCATATAGTGAACAAAAAGATTGTGACATGTATCGTGAGTTAAGTGTATTGTTCGACCCCTAGAAGCAGCTGATGAGTTTTGCGCTCAACTCTACATTAACTCTATCTAACTTGTACAAAATTGACTATAAAGCCAGCTACACAGAGGCTAACATGCTGACTAACACAACTGTCAAATAGATTGTGAGGAACTCTAGACCATATAGTTGAGGACTTAACCACCACCTACATGTATCATGATTAATCCACAGGTACTATAGATTAAACAGATTAATCATTTTATTGTTTGACAGTCGCACATATTATACAAGTTCCAAACTATCCACTTTTTAGATGCGGCGAAAAAGCAACTCACCTGGTTTCCGATGATGTCTTTTTTTTCTTTTCAAGTTGTTCAGCGTGTTCAACTGTAGCGTTGTAAATTTCTTTCTTGTTTTCCAGCCACTTCTCCTCACTGAAAACACAAGCCCAAGTAATTCAGTCCACACTTAACATAAAAACATGTAAGAAGTCCCTTAAGCCATTAAAGGATCACATACAGCTCTTTAATTTTCCTTAAAGTGTCTCTTTTTGCTTCATAAGAAGAATGAACCATCTGAAGTTCTGAGCAAAGCTTGACCATCTGTTGGAAAAAAAGTCAAGTTTAAATACAAAACAGCAGGCATCTAGTGAATCCAGATTTTAGCATCAATGTCAACAGACCTCTTCAATTCCAGCTTCAACCAAAACTTCTGAATTCGATGGCAGAGCTATACGTCACAAAGGAGGAAACTTGAAACTTCCAGGCTTACAGGAGATGAAACTCTAGGGACTTTTAAAAAGCCGGTAAGACTTACCTTTTGGCTCTGCTGACCGCCACTGTTTTAGTAAATCTTCTGTTGCTTTCAGATGACTCACAACCTAGTAGGGACAAATCAAAACATTGAACAAATAACATACAATTGCATGTCAGCTAAAGCAAAAGAGCAAACACATGATGATGTGGAGGAAAACTGTTCAATAAACTTTTTTTTTCTTCCATTCTATTGAAAGTTAACAGAACGTGCTGGTAACAAAAAAAAAAGGGCATATTTTTAATATAAATGCAATGACAAAAACACGTGACAAAACTAATTAAAAAAATAATGCACAAAAATACTCAGTAAATAATAAGGTAAGGGACTGCATAAGTGTACTTTTAATATAGAGAGACAGAATATTCCCAAGAAGGTTGGTGAGATGGTAACAACCCCTGGGAAACCCCTGACAATTTCCATTATTTTCATTTATAAATCATTGGGTGTTTGGATCAGCAACTATTTTCTTTTTTTTTAAACTGATGGATTCAGTGATATTTCAGAAATGAAACTATTCGGTTCATTGGAGAAGATGTGCAATATGCATTAAAACAAAATTACACAGGGGCAAAAAAAAAGTTCCATGTTTAGTCGATCCTTTCTTTTGCCAAAATAACAGCTTCTAGACGTTTTCTATAACTTCCAATGAGTTTCCTCGTTATTGTACACACAGCGCCACATACTGACAGAAAAACACAGAATTGTTTACATTTTTTGCAGATTTATTAAAAGAGAAAAATTGAAATATGACATGGTCATTAGTATTCAGCAGAGGTGGGACCAAGCCGTTGCTTTGCAAGCCACAAGTAAGTCTCAAGTCTTTGCACTCAAGTCCGAGTCAAGTCTCAA